GAAACATAATCACCTGGAGGAGTATTACTAAAAACACTTTTTAAAAATGAGAATTCCTGTCTCATTTATGTAATCATGCCAAATTTAGAAACTGTAGAAAAATAGATTTTGTTATGATTTGTAATGATTAAGAAAAAGAGAAAGATTTAAAAATCAATGGAGTCACAGAATTCTGGGTCATTTGTGCTCATTAGGAGGAATTTGATAGTTATTAAGATAGTACAATTCTTAGAGAGAAAAAAAAAGCCAAAACAACCAAAGATGAATGTTAAGAATTTATAATAGTGTTCCCCCCAAAAAAGTAACTTACAATTCCCACAGCAGAAAATTGGTTAAATATGAATCTCTACCTATTAAAAAGGTGCCTTAGAAAAATCAGCAAAGATGTTTATATTGGCTACAAAGGTATTTGTAGCCATTATAAACACTGATACCATTTTTACAAAGATATACACAAGGCATTATCAATAATTCTGATTGACGGAATTTTGTATATTTTCCTTTGTGTGTTTCTATGCTAAATTTTCTACCAAAAACCATTCCCCTGTGTGGCAGGTGATGCCCTAAAGTTCTGACTCCTCACTTTTTTGAGAGCCTGGCAGTATTCTTAAGGAGAGAAGGGGAAGACAGATATTACCACAAGAACAATGGGGTATTACGAAGGACGTGTGTCACTCTGGCACAAATGCCCTGTGCTCCCATCTCTTTTTTCAGGCAAATTATATTAAAGTTACAGTATAATATCAGAAAGAATTTGATTGTAAGATACTGCAATTTTAATTGAGCAACTAGCTGATAGAAACAAGAGAACTCAGATTATTAATCCAGAAAAATGATGAAAAAGTACTAATTTAAAAATTGCTGCACTAAGCTGCCATTATCTGAAGAAAAAAACCATCAATATTCCCCAGCAGGAAATCAAGGAACACACTATTAAAGCTATTTCAGCAAGCAGCTTTCCTACATCCTCCCACTCCTCTGATCTCTCATATTAGAAATTAATAACAAAGAAAAAAAATCTGAAAATTCAGAAAGACTAATTTTTTATTTTATTGGATAAAGCTATGAAGTCCTTTATTATTATTATTATTATCCTTTTGAATGATAAGCTTCTAAGTTACAAATCTTCTCTTTCATTTTACAACTGTTCCTAAGCTCAAGACCAATAATCACCACACTGAAAAGACTTCAATTTCCAGAGAATTAGTTGCCCTGATTCTCTAGGGCAAGTCTCCTGTCTCAGGCAGCTATGACAAATCTAGGGTCAAGGCAAATCCTTAACCTTCCACTAACCCTGACCCCTCCCATCAAGATAGCCTGTGTAGACAAAGTACGGCCTTTCTCTGCACTACCTGTAGGAAGTCCAGGTAGCTATACATCACCTATCCCTATCTGCACCTGAAACTGAGCCACTGATATGGGAGTAGAGATTTTGGGTGGGGAAGGTAGAAGTTGGGTAGGAAAGCAGAGGATTAAAATGGTTCATTCTCATCTGGACTAACTAAATAATGATCAGGAATCTAAGAAGTTTTTTTAAAAGATTCTGTTGTGACTTTATCATAGAAATGGATACTCAACAAAAGACTTACATTCCTAAAATTTACTTTAAAAATACCTGATGAGAAACTGGGGGTGGAGCTCAGTGGTATGGAATTTGCCTAACTTGCACAAGGCCCTGGGTCAGATCCCTGGCACCAAAAAATAAGAACTTTTGATGGTTATAAAATTACAAAAGACCACTAAACATTCTTTTAAATTCTCTTATTTTTCCTAACAGTTTTAGATAATAAAAATGCATAATTTTCTTTATCTCCCATAATGTATTTAATATCCAGTGGGAAAGCCACAAAAACTAAAGATTCCCCCTTGAAGATATCATTCATTGCATGCTAGTGTTGTCTTGTAAGCAGGTCACAATAACTGCATATTTGTTTCCTACTTTATAACCAGGTTGATGTTATTTATAAATTATAAACAAATTTAAAATGTGTTTAACTACTAGGTAGGGATCAATTTGATTTTATTTGCTGTCTGTTGTACCAAGAGGAGTAGTGGATGAATAAATACTAATAAATAAATTACTGGTAAATTTAATTTGCTATTCTATCACTAATTAATAACTTAGCATCTTAGTAAGTTCAGGCTACTGTAACAGAATACCATAGCCTTGGTGACTTATAAATAGTTCTAGATGCTGCGAAGTCCAAGGTTAGAGAGCTAGAAGATTCAGTGTCTGGTAAGGGCTGCTCTCTCTGCTTCAAGATGGTACCTTGTTGCTGCATCCTTGAATGGAAGATGGAAGAGGTCTCTTTCAAGCCTTTTTAATAGGGGCACTAATTTCATTCATGAGACTTTATCTTATGACCTATCACCCTTCAAAGACCCTATCTCTAAATATGGTCACCCTGAGGATTAGGATTTCAACATGTGAATTTTTGGGAGATATAAACATTCAGTCCATTGAATTCAGTAATCTTGATTTTCTAGAATTGTATCACTGTACACTTTCTTTTGTGAGGCATTTTGTGTTGCAAGCACCAGATGCATTCAGGAAACCTGAAGACAGGGAGGGTTCACTCTGAGTAAGTGGAAAGCCAGCTATGGAAGGTCTAGGGACCAGCTGCTATTTCTATGTGTGGGCCTGTTAGTCCCTCCTATGTACAGTTCTCTCTCTCATCCTTCCTTTTGCTTTCTCTACCACTGACAACTAACTTCTGCTTTTTTCTAGGTTCTCTCCCCTCCACAACTTCAGCTTACAGAGTGGTCTTCATGGCTTCTTCATCCCTGGATGACATTTCAGCAGTAAGTCCCATAATGAACTAGCAGATTCACTGTGTTTCTTAGTTCAAACTCCCTGAAAGGGTCTGACTGACCCAGATCATCTTTCCAAAGTAGACAAATAGGTATCTAGTTGGTGGGTGACATCTCTGGTGTACACTCCAATCTGTATTTCTGGAGTGCTCCTAGCATCTTGTTTTAATGCTCCCCAAGTGATTCTGATAGAGAGGCAGGGTTAGGAGCAATCAAAGGAGCCTAACTAGGGACTAAATGTTTTGAGGGAGGTGCCCATCACTGGTTCAATCCTGAGGTATAGATGATTATGTGGTATACAACACACCCCAGGCCAGAGTGGTGTATGAGTTTCCTATTACTGCTATATCAAATTACCATAAACAGTAGCTTAAAACAGCACTTACAGTTCTGGAGGTCTGAAGTCTGAAATGGATTTCTCTGATCAAAATCAAGATGTTGGCAGAGCTGTATTTCTTCTGGGGCTTATGGGGGAAGAATCCTTTTCCTTGCCTTCTCCAGCTTTTAGGGGTTATCTGACTTCCTTGATTCCTGATCTGTTCCTCCATCTTCAAAGCCAGTAATGGCTAACTGAATCTTTCTCAAAGTACATACTACCTCCCTCTTCCACATTTAAAGGACCCCCATGATTACACTGGCCTCAATGGGATAATCCAGGGTAATCTCGTTCTTTTAAAGTCATCTGCTTAGCAACTAAATTCCCCCTTGTATATAACATGACACATCTATAGGTTTTGAGGATAAGAATGTGGACACATGTGGAGGGAATGTAATGATTGTGTCAATTGCAGAGCCATAGTCAACAAAACATACTGGGTGGGAAGAGTCACTTACGAGAGATTATGGCCAAACATAAACACTGCTGAATATTACAGTGGGAGATGCAGATAGACTCTTAAAATTTTGACAGTTTATGTTAGTTTATCACTTATACTTTGTGCCAATAGAAATTTCAACCATAAAAACAAGAAGCAGTAATACAAAAATGTATAAATGCAAAAAGAAACACTTTACCCTTTAGTAATTAACCAGGAAATTTTCTGTAATTATATGAATTTTCCTATTTTATCAATAACCACTACCAAAATCAATTATAATTAGCTTTGTTTCCAGAAGAACTCTATTTTAAAACACATTTTAAGTAACTTTCAAGTTGCTTTTTCCTTAGTCGATATTTACAGGCCTATTAAAAATACAAATAACAACATAATACAATTCTTTTAAAGAAATAAAGACCTGCAGTGTTCTTCAAAAACAAAACAAAACAAAACAAAACTAAAAGTGCTTGCATTTCTTTAAAGAAAACATTATTCTGTGCCTGAGGCTACCAGTATGTGGAATTTTATGGAGGACTGTCTAGTTATTAAGAGTTTCTGAAATTTTTTAACTGTGAAAATCTGTCATCAGAAATGCCACATAAACTACATCTAAACTGAAAAGGAGTGGGATGAAGTGAGAAAACAAAATCATGATATAAATGTAGAAGTTAGGGGAAAACAGTGAAACTTCAAAAAGCTCTAAAGAAAAAAGCATTTTCACACACATCCTAAAAAATGGAATAGTCCTAGGAAATTTAATACTAACATTCAAAACTAGAATAATAAGAGAGCCTTTTCCTCCTTGTGCTTGCATGTATTTGCCATAAATCTATACGCATACAAACATATTCATGGCATATACAGTAAAATCATTTCATCTGCTCATTTCCAAACTGGAAGTCAGCACCTGCATTTTAACTTTTAGGAGGTTAAAATCAGAAAATCTTACTGCTTTTTGTCTTTATGATTCATCTGGAGTGTTATTCAATCAACAAATAAGTATTGAGGCCATTCTATGCATTAGACATATTACAGGGTTAACTTGTTTTCAATCTCTCACACTTAAAAACATTGGTCCTGTCAAGTTTAACAAAATAGTTCACTAAAAAATGGTTATACTAACAATTATCTTAATTTTAAAAATTCACACCATTTTAAATACCCATTTGTTCTTATCTAATAAGTTGTGAGTGGATAATTTCAGGATTACATATTCATTGCCTGGAGTTAGGCATCTTGAGCCCATGTAGGCAAAACAGTTAACACACTGGGAAATGCAGAAGGATGAAGGTAAGTATTGAATTGAAATCAATTTGGTAATATAAAGGTAATAAAATGTTGTCAGGCACCAGGAAAAAAAAAATGACTTACTCAGACTGCTTAGTTGGCGTATGATTGCAGCAAGAGTACTATTGGTTACACACTCAAGTTCACTGGTAATCCCTTCTGGCAGAGCTCCCCGGCACAAGTGCCGGGGTTCAATGTTCCTCTTCACTAACGGCATGGCTGACAATCTGAAAATTAAAAAGACACTTTTTAAAAAAATTCATATTTACATTTTAACAAATTTAGAGTTTTACTGCCCTGGAAAATTGGCTCTTTGCCAGGAATTTTCATTATGCTATCATTTCTAGTTAAGAGAATCAGCTAAAATACAATTAACATTTAATGACTTAAATGAATTTTATAGGTTTCAGATATACATACAGCGTAATCCTCCTTTTAAGGAAAAATAATATATGCTAGCATTCCAGTGAAGTTTGAGAGAACAGATACACGCATTTTTACCTCCTGCCCTCTCTACTAACGTGACGACAGGTAGAAATGAGAGAAGTCCCCAAGTGTTGCTATAGTTTGGCTCTGAAAGCTCCCCAAAGATCCATCTTGGTCCCCAGCGTAGCACTGAGAGATAGCAGAACCTTTCAGTGGTAGGGCCTAAGAGGAGGTTTTAGGTCACTGGGGAAGTGCCCTCAAAGGAGACTGTAGACCCCAGCTCCTTCCTCACTGGTTCCTGCAAAGAAGTGAGTGTTTTTTGCTCTACCATGTGCTCCCACCATGATGTGCTGCCTTGCCAAAGGCCCAAAGCAACAGGACCAACTGATCATAGACTGAAACCTCTAAAACTATGAGCAAAAACAAAAGAGTTTTTCTTTTCCTTTTGGGGTATGCTAGGTAGGCACTCTACCATTTGAGATAATCTGCCAATTCTGAACATTTTTTTCTTTGTAAGTTGATTATCTCAGGTATTTTGTTATAGTCCCAACATAAGTACTAAAAGTAAAAAGCAGATGCAGAACTGCAGTCAGTGTAACCAAGATACATGACAGAAAACAGAAAAGGCCATACCTAGACTACGAATGTGAACAAACTTTGAGTGCCAGACCTTCCCCATTCTCCCTACCAAAGGCTCAGGAATAAGAGATGTCAAGTATCTGCAAACTGGGAATGAAGCAGAGGAAAACAGGAGAAATGGCTTTCTAAAATTCATTTAAGAATTCCTTCTCCCTTGTTGGGATTCCCTACTCCACCCCACCTAGCATGTCCCACTCTCTGGAAAAGGTGAATTAAAGAATCTGGACTTGGTATAGCAAAGGAAGAGGTAGGAAAATCACTGAAAATAGGGGCATTAAATCAAAGTCTATAGTGACTGGCATTCTAGATCCCACCCACCTCCAAGCTCAGGTCTCTCCTCTATGCAGCTCCCAGAGTACTGGCAGTCTGGATTTTTACTCCCTATCCAAAGAAACTAAAACAATTCTCCCTGGGGAATACTTAAGAGAAGAACATATACAAACACTGACACTGGGGAAAGGAGCTTCTTTTTATTGAAACTGCCAACCAGGTCACCCTACAGGAACACTTGTCAATAATCCCCCCAGATACACAAGCTCCAATCAGCCTTTAGTGCCTCAGACTTAAATCAAAATCAGGAAATGCCTGCCTACCCCAACTCCCACCACCAATCTCAAAGGATTCCCTTTCATCTTTCTCCTGGAAAAGTACATTATAGTAAAATAAAACTCCAACTTTCTATTTAAAGAGATTTATAGTTTCAAACCTACTTCTCATGCAGCACTAGAAAATCCAATGACGGGATATATTTTCATTTTGATAAGCTTATCATATTGCCCAACTTCAGGAGTAGAAGCACAGGCCCAGTACCTGAAGATATCCTTCAGCAGTGAAACCAGCTCTGGAATTTTTACCATGTGAGAGAAATTAATATCCTATTTGTTTAAGTCACTGTAGTTGGGCATTCTGTTACACAAAGCCAAACTTATTCCCAACTAGTACAACTGCTGAATGACACTACACCTAGAAAAGCTGGGATGCACTAAATATATAGCAAATATTTGCTTTTCTTCATAACTTTTGGTTCATTAATTCAGTAAGTGAATTACTTACTGGGCACCTGCCATGTATGCAAGGTGATGAAGACATAATGGTAAGTGAACAAGGTCTCTCCTACAATGGAACTTTAGTGTAGTCTAGTGGAGGCTAGAGGACACTAATAAAATCACACAGACTGACACATCTCCTATTGTGATTGGTGCTAACAGGATGGTCTTGGGGGTTCAGAAACCATGTGGGAAGCAGGAAGCTGGCCTATGTCAGGAGTCAAAGGTAGCCTCTCTGTGGATCTGAATACTGAACTGAAATCTGAAGAATTCATACAAGCTAGCTCACAAGAGGTCTGCAGCAGAGGGAATATGGATAAAGAACTGGAGGAGGGCAAAAACAGCAGGTATCAAGGAAAAGTTCTGTTGAACCTCAACATTTTATTTGCTATTTCTGCATGATGGTAGTTGAGCACAATGACCGTATTTCACATTCACACAATGCCTCACCCACTGACATGTGTACTGTCTATGGTACATCACTTCACCTCTCTGTGCCTTCCTGTAAAATGGGGATACTAACATTTCTCCACTGGGAAATGGGGAGGTATATACTGCCCAGAATGAGGATTAATGAGCTACTAAATATGTAAATCATGTAGACAGAGTCTGGCATACAGTAATGCTCAAAAAATGTGACTGACTATAATAATTGCATTATCTTAAATTTGACTGTTGTAATTTTAACTGTTAGTCTGATTATAATAAAGTAAGAATAATTTCCTGGTTGGGATAACAGTGTAGCCTGAGAAAATAAGACAGCAATATTTACATAAAAATCATTAAACTAAGAGGAACACATCCAAAGTAGATGAACTAAAATGCAAAAATCCCAGATAGTAAGGACTTTGAACAAAAGCAAAAAAGATTTATTTTGTGTTAACATTTCTTTCTGGGAGAATCATTTAGGGTAACAGGGTAGAAGCTTATTATAATAAAATAAACTCAAAAACTAGAATTCCTCAAAGGAAAATAAGAAAAATTAATAAGCTGAATAAAAGCATAAAATGTAGGAAACAAAAATAACGAAAACAGATCAGCAGGGACACATTCCATCAGAACTAGATGGAAAGCAAGCAACAAGAAAGATGACATCTATAAAGAAGCACACAGCAATGAAAAGGGGGAAGGAAGTGAATTAAAAAAGCCTCTAAAGACGAAGCAGATAAGCTAATGAACCAGAAGTGAGACATGAGTTTGAACGTGGCAGCAGTTTGCTTGCACTGGTAGTTTGTAAAAGTGGCTCAAGCATTCATTATCTTCTTAATACTTTCTCAAAAGGCTTCACGAGTGTGTAAGATAAGCATGTTTAGGAACTGAATGCTGAGCATGTATACAACATTCTCCTCTTCCAAATTCATTCTGTATTTAGACATGTCCGATCTCTCCAGCTACTTTTTGACCTCTGACCTGCCCAGGAACATGTCAGTACAGCACTTCTGCTGCTACCATCCATAGACTTAAAATTATTCAAATAAATAGAACCCTAATTACAGACATAGCACATTGATGCTCCACTGACAATTCCATAACACATACATAGCGAGTTAAATATCTTCCTGCCACCTTCTGCTGAGCTTACTAGCTTCCTAGTATCAAACATGCCTGTCTTTTCAGAACATCAGGAAGCTGGTTCAAGCTGTCTCCCACATAAGCAATGTTTGTCCCTCTCATTTATCTCCATGAGCCCATGTCCTGTGTCACCTCACCTCTCCCCTATTAAAGGCCTTCAGTTCTGCCTCTAAGAATCCATTTCTCAGTCCCAGTGGACTGCTGATTAAACAATATAGTGGCACTGGGAGGCACAGAATACATTTGGCAGATCACTTTAAGTGCTGACCGGAAGACATGCTTAAGGTGTTATTAGGGCACAAATGACAAAAGCTTGGTTCCTTACAGTTGTAGTAACTTTGCCTTTTATTTTCTTTTTCCTGATGCTTTGTTATCTAGGTCTTGCCTAGACTGTAGAAGGCCTATACCTTCTAGGGTTAGCAATTCTTAATGACAGTAAACAACTCACTCAAGAGTGTGTCCTTCAAATGCAGTCTAACCAATCCACTGTCCACACTGCCATCATCTCCTTTATTAGGCTCTCACACTCTGGGCCACTAGTCACCTGCATAATCACTCCATGGACAAATACCAAACAGCTAGAGGCAGCTTCTATGCCCTAGAGCCACTAAAATTATTCAAACTAGCTAATCCTAACCCTGCTGGCCTTGCCTTACCTATTCCTTCCCATGAAAAACTCAATAAAGGTTCTTGCTCACAGTTTCCCCTCACCCTCACCTCCTGATGGACTCTGGTGTTTCCCCATATGGCATGACATGCCCCCTCCTATTGGGAACTGGAACAAATTATCTTTTTAATGGCAGTCATCTGATCTGCTGGCTTTACTATATCTCAAATCTTCTATAACTACACTAACTTCTAAAACAACAGGGAGGTCTAATAATGATTCAGAAGAGGCAACATGTCAGCATTTCCTTTATTTCTCTATTTACTATTCCAGGCACCTGCAGGAGTTATGTGCCTGGTAAGGGGAAGACTGATGGCTGTCTTTTCTACCAAGGTGAACTACAAACTGCCTGAATTTAGAGACTGAGCCTATTAATTCCATATTCACTACAATGCCCTGAACACTCCTCAGTACAACCTGATATTCAAAAAGATGTTGATTATATGCCCCTGAACCTACATGCTTCTATTTGCTATCTCTTTGGTACTGCATCTGTTTTTTGTTTTTCAAAAAAATATTTCAGCCTTGCCTAATCCCCAGCCTTCACTCTTCAGGATCATTATACCTTTATTTGAAGCTTTTACATGAGGGCAAATACAAAGACAACAAAGAGAGGCTCTGCTATCTGCCTGCAATTTTAGAAAAAGGGTTTCATAGATCCCTTTTAAAGTTCTCATCACCTAGCAATGATTTTTATAGCTTTCCAATTCTGTGTGAAGTACTCTTACAGATGTATGTTTTACTAAAAAGCCTTGATTTTTATCTAACACTACTCCAGCTTGGAATAAGTTGAAGCTCAAGAAAGGTAAAGGAAAAAAATATTTCCTTACAAGTAAAGGTCCGTCATCACTATTAAAATGCTTTGCAGTTACAAAAA